CCTTTTTTTGCAATATACTTATTGTAATTTCAATAACTTATTCCACAACTGGTGAATTCAAGGAGCAAAACTACTTTAATGGCAAGGTTCAAGCACTGGGTTCCTTAATATATGCCCATGCTGTTATATGAAAATATCCTACTGGTCAGAGGGACAGGGGAGATCAGCCTTACACTGAACGCAGTAGAAACTCTGGCAGGTAACCTCTCAAACAGATGTTTGGATTTAAATGTAGAATTAAGTATCAAACAAGGATCACCACTCAAATGTGACTTTATCTACAAGATTATCACACTAATGTTCAGAAACTATTTACCTCAGAGCACCAGGTGTTGGGGTGACAGGTAGAAGAACTGAACTTTTATTCCCTGTTTATGTATTTTTTGTGTGCGCGCGCATACATACACCAGTCTCACTCACACAAACAAACACACACACACACACACATTGTGCGCGTGCATACATACACCAGTCTCACACACACAAACACACACACACACAGGGATGGAGTCACCAAAGCAGGTATAGCTCCACAAGGTGAAGGGATGGGCATGTGCACCCTCCTGGATTTCTGCAGATTGCCCACCTCTGCTTTAATACATACATAAACAAGTTGGAACAGATCTGGGAGGGCCACAAAGATGTTAAGGTTTATAGAAAACAAGGCAAGGTTGAAGGAAGTTGGGATGTTTAGTCTGGAAAAGAGATTGAACGCTGCACTTTAAGTGCCTGAACAGCTGTCTCATATAAGAGGGTAAATATTTGTTCTTTGTGCCCCAGAGGGTAGAACTAAATCAAATAAGCTTAAGTTACAGGAATGTAGAGTTTGGCTCAGTTAGGAGAAAAAACATGATAATAACAGCCCGAGATGGAAACTAATATCAGAGGGAACCATGTCCAATCTCTTGTTGGATATCTTTAAAGCAAAAGACTGAGCAGCCATTGTTAGGGGATGCTGTAGTTCAGTGCTTTCCAACCTTGGGTCCCTTGGACTACAACTCCCAGAAAACCTGGCCTGAACAGCTAGTGGTGAACGCTTCTGGGAGTCTAAGAACATCTGGCTACCCAAGGTTGGGAACCATTGCTCTAGTCCTACAACTGCTGAGATGGGCAGAGAATTGGATGACATGAGCACAACTATTCCTTCCACCTCCAACTGTCAGATGGTTTTCCATCCAAGAACTGATATAGCCTATATTTGCTTCCCCAGTCACCTCCAGATGATTCTTCAAGTTATGAACTACTGTATTACTCTTGGCATATCAAAAAGACTCACCAGGATAGGAAGGTTTTAATGGAAAATATGAAAGAGAAAAGGAAAGAAACTAACCATTTCATAGGCTACAGAATGCATATATTACATACAATCCAGTCACATCCAACTTAAAGGTAAAGGTTCCCCTTGACATTTAGTCCAGTTGTGCCTGACTCTAGGGCAGTGGTCAGGAAACAGGGGTAAATTACCCCAAATGGGGTAAAAATGAAAATCCTGCGGGTAATGAGGATGAGCAGAGCCCCAATATTGATGCTCTCATATCCAAGATAAAGCAACATCATTTCTCCAAAACCTGAAGTTTTCAAGCAAGTTGAAGCTTTCAAAGTAATTTTGAATAGATTCAATAAGATTTCGAATTCAAATAATATATGATTTCCTTCCTTTCAAATCAAGGGGGTAATGTCGGCGTATATAATTTTTTTTTTTGGGGGGGGGGTAAAAGGTAAAAAAGTTCCCTGACTCCTGCTCTAGGGCAAGGTGCTCATCCCCGTTTCCAAGCCATAGAGCCAGCATTTTGTCTGAAGACAGTTTCCGTGGTTATGTGGCCAGCGTGACTAGACACGGAACACCGCTACCTTTCCACCAAGATGGTGCCTATTTATCTACCCACAATTTACATGCTTTCGAACTGCTAAGTTGGCAGGAGCTGGGACAAGTGACAGGAGCTCACTCCATCACGTGGATTCGATCCTACAACTGCTGATCTTGGCTATTTAGGCAGGCCTTCCCTCCAGTCAGCTAACTCTTTTCATTTCTTTTTTCTTATTTTATCCCAACCTAGTATCCTTTCTTAATTAATTGCTTTAATTAATTTGACTAGACACGGAATGCCGCTACCTTTGCACCAAGATGGTACCTATTTATCTACCCACATTTTACATGCTTTCAAACTGCTAGGTTGGCAGGAGCTGGGACAAGCGACAGGAGCTCATTCCATCACGTGGATTCGATCTTACAACTGCTGATCTTCTGACCTTGCAGCACAGAAGCTTCTGTGTTTTAAGCTGCAGCGACAGCATGTCCAACTTACAATGACCCTAATAGAGTTTTAAGGGATGTGAGATATTTAATTAGTAGTTTCGCTAGTGCCCCTTCCTTATGAGCATCCATGATAACACAGGGATTTGAACCCAGGTCTCCTGAATTCTAATCTGTCACTCTATTTGCTACACCACAAAGGCTGAAATGGAAGTGTAAAGAGATGGGGTGGAACCTCACAGTCAGGATGCCAGAGTCAGAAGCTAAAGCATCAAATATATCATCAAATTCACACTTTGAGATGCAGTTGGCCAACATATGGCAAATGCACATTTCAAAGCGTTCTTTGAAGATGGACTGTAAACCACATTTGGCTCAAGGATGCCAGGGCAACACTTGCTGCCTGGAATCTTTTGATACACAGATTTATCCAACTCTACCTGTAAATACATCTCAATTGCTTAAAGCAAAGATCTTTTTGAAATGGTGCCTGGCCAAAGGGTTCCCAGGAATCAACAAAGGGCCAAAAATATACTTAAGAACTGCAGCCAGAGAACAAAGAAAGTTAGTCTCTTTGGACCCTCCAGGTGATCAAGAGGAATGTAACCTCCAGAGAATAGGAAATCCACATACTACATGATTAGACCACCAAAGCCATGGCAGTTAGTTATGTTAGGGTAGATGTTTGTAGATTGCTTTTACCAAGCACCACCTTGCTCAAGCAACAGGGAAACAAACTATATCATTCTTACTGTTTAGCTCCTTAGACAATGCCTTTTCTGTTTGGACAATGTATTTTGGCTTTGTTCCTAATTTTTTTAAAAAAATTCTCTTTTTGAACTAACTACCGTGGTGTGGAAGGCACAGTGCCCCGGATTAAATCTGAGTCCAAGTGTCTTACCACTCTTGATCAAAACTACCCGAGATATTTTAATCTTTTATGCCTTTTATAAAAAGAGGGAGGTGGTCACAGAACTACTGTACTCAGAGTTTCTGAAAGAAAGGGAAATTAGAAAAAGGAGTGCTGGATTCCTCTCTCCCCAGCTTTGACTAACCTAGACCCCAGATCCCAAGTCCCTTTTCACGACAGAAAGGTAACAGGAGAGGGTCAACATATTATATTCATCAGTTTGGGCCTGTCAGAACAGAATTAGAGAATTTATCTCCTCAGATGAATCAAAGTCCTTATCACACTTATTTTAAAATAAAATGCACTAAAACAAATGGAACACATTTTTGAAAAGATACATTTAGGATCAGTGTCCATAATCAGATGAAGCATAAACTTCACAAGTAAGCCAGCTGTGCCTAAAAATAATGATGTGTTTTCTACAGAGACAGACCACATACCCACAGAGAAATGACATTTTACCAGAAAAGCAACAAAAATAGACTCTGGCCAGTTACTGCCTTCTGCAGCATGGCGCTCCTCCCTCCACCTCACAGCTGTCAACAGGAACGGTATCTTCCCTGCAGGACATTAGTTTTTTCCTTGTGACACATATTTCCTCTACAGGATTACACAGGCAATGTGGAGATGCAGGCAAAAGTGAAGGCAAACCTTTAGATACAGCTTAACTATAAGATATCTGACGGTGTTCACATTCTTGAGAGAGACACTTTTTTAACACTTTTTTAAATTGCCTGCTATGAAGTGGTTGCATACTTTTCAGATGTTTCAAGCAGATATGCAGTGTAGCTATCAGAGAAGGAGATAAGGGAGAGAGAGGATGTTGGACTAGATGTTCCACAAAGAAGTCAAACCAGAAGTTCTAATTCTATGCACTTCCAAAGATTTAAATAAGTGCATGGTGGATAAGTATCTTAGTATCTATCAATAATCTCTGTATATAGGGAAAGTGCATCGCTCTACAACACTTGCCATAAAACAAATAGGAAGGCTGATGTCCTCTTACCCTGCATACAGACCTCCAGAAAGCATTTGGTTGGACACTGTTGGCAATTTGAATACAACTGAATTTAGGACACCAGCCTGTGAAATCATTTTATTCTCATAACAAATACAGTATCAGGCAAATTCATGACGGAGCCTGTCCATATGAAAGCATCAAAGTAATAACTTAAATTTCCATATTCAAATATAATTGAAAACTCTGGACACTGGAGTATATAGGTTTCACACAATGCTACCTGAAAAAGTTGTGAAGCAGGGAATTTAAATTGCCCATCTGTTATGAACTCACCTGGTCGCTTTAACGAACTACTCTCCACCACGCCTCTTGGGAGCAATATAATATTAACTTCCAACAGAGATTTTAAAAAAATACTTTTCTCTACAATCTCCACCAAACATACCAACTTGTTCAGCCAAGTTTTCGTTCAAAACCTCTGAAGGGCCAACAGTTCCCCTGAGAGTCTACCTTGCCGGAGGGTGGCTGCAAGGCAGCTTTCCCCCTATGGGGCGCGACCCACCCGCGGTGGACTACAACTCCCATCATCCACACCCAGTCCAGCGGTGCTAAGCCTTATTAATTAAAAGCGTGTGGAGGCGGGAAGAGATGAAACCACTCCTGGCACCACCTTTATTAAAAATGCCTTTTTTCTTCCTGGGCGGGGCAAAAAGACACACCTTCTCCCTTCTCAGGTAAGGGCGTGAGTACAAAGAGGAAGAAGGCAACACCTAACACCCCACACACACCCTACGGTTCAGGGTTTCTTCTCCCACTCTTCGCAAACTTAAAGGAAAAGGGAACACCGAGACACCCACCCGCTCCCTCCCCTTTACCTCAGCCGGAGGTTGGCCATGAATTCCGGCATAGAGACAGAGTCGAGCAGCACAAAGTCCGCCTTGCCGAACTCTAGGCTTTCCTGCTCTGCCATGGCGCCGGGAAGAGAGAGACAGAAACAGCCAGACAGCCGCCCACCACCTCCGCTCCGCTCGACCAGCAGGAAAGCCCCGCGTACCAAAACGCACACACACGCCCGAGCCGGTCAGCGAAGAAACCGGCTGAGAGAGAGCGAAGCGGGCGGGGAAGGCTCCCTCCGAAGCCACGCCCCCTCACCTGAGACGCCACTGCGACTGGAGGCGCGTCACGGCCTGGGAGCAGGCGGAGCAACAGGGGACAAGGCTGATTCTCCTGAAGATGGGAGGAAGCCACGCCTACTCCTGGACAGGCCCGCCTTCTTTGCCTCTGAACGCTTGTAGCGCCATCTGGCGGCAGAGAGAACTCTTCCGTACACTGTATCAGTTTAGTGTACACTATTGGTGCTGATGAATGTCGTATACAAATTATTCGTAGGCGTTGATTTATTGTATCCGTAGTCTTTCTTTTCCCTAGGGAGGTTTCTACAAGGCTGCTTTCACGGTTCTTCCAGAGACTGAGGGTGTTTCCAGACAGGACTTTGACTGTGTAAGCGCATTGTCTCATTTTCAGGATCTGAGGAATTCTGTTAAAGCTTTGTTGGGAGCCTCCCATGCCATCTGTAATTTGTGACTAGAAGGGACTTTTCTGGGCTGAAGCAATTGTCTGTTTATTCAGGACTAACCAGTTGTTCCTTCCAGCCTTTGAATTCAAGGAGATTCCTGCCCCTCTGCTGAGGATTCTTTCTCTCCCTTTAGTCTGTTGGAAGCTGTTGTTTGTTTGCTGCTGATCTGTTCAGTTGGTTGTTAAGTATGTATGCAATAAATAAAGCAGCATACACAAATCTGTAACTTCAAGAAACTATAGGAGTTGTTTTTACTCTTTCTACTACAAACGTCTGAGTGAGTTTATGAGAATTTAAATGCCGGTTAAGGAGAAACGAGGAGGACTTTGGACTTTGTAGCTATTCTAAAGGGAGTTTTACCAAAACCTCAAACTTCTGCAACTAATTCACCTTATTGGATTTATCGTGCTAATTGGAAAATTATGAAAGTAATAATTTTAAAAGTAACTTTTCTGAGCTTTAATCCTTTATTTTTCTTTACATGAAAATGTATGACTTTAAAAAGATAGAACAATGGTTTTCAGTTGTGAGAAGTAGAGACCATGAGTAAAAGCATCATAAATTCCCCAAGGTGTTTCATAGCTAAGAGACTAAAAGCTTCCCTTTCTTCGTTGGACACTTTTTGAACCAATGCACTGCACAGTTAAGACAACAGAGGTGCACAGAAATATTCTTGTCCTCAAAGAATTTACAAGTTAAAATAGATGGTGGGGAAAACAGGAAGAGAAAGATGAGTGTACATACAATTAAAACATGGCTTATTTTTCTCCTAAGAGCGAGACCAGATGGTTTATCTACTACTTCCTACCTTTGAACACCAGGTGGTAGCAACCAAATAGGTATAGAGAATTCCAAATGTTCTTCTTCTTTATATTCTGTAAACTTTCAATTGTCATCCGTCTGAACTCAGTGTGCATATCCCATTTCTCCACATTTATTTCCAAAAATAAAAATCCTACATGGAATAGCTATGAAGTAAACAGAAAGAACACACTCTGGTCAATTCCTAAGGAATCCTCTGGACATTCTTAACTCTTTGTTTAACTCAAGCATAGCTGTCTCCTACAGTATATGCAATAATATATTTAACCTTCCTCTTAGCTTGATAAGTGTTACTTTCTCTGCCCTTCAGGGATGGGGAACCTTTGGCCCTACGGATGTTAAGTTCAGTATTACCTTCATACCACATGATGGGTCAGATTTTACCTAGGTCTCATCAGAAGTGGAGTTAAACAGCATTTGGAACACTACAGTTTCCCCAATCGGAATACCTGACTGACCAATACCTGATTCAAATGCACATACAGCTCCCCTACTACTATGAAATTTATCTTCTAACTGTTGGTTCCCATTGATGAAATATTGACCAACTATTCTTTCTATTAACCAGTAGGATACTTAATAGCAAACTCAATGTGTGTGTTTTTTAACTTGCCAGAGGTACAGCTTTCACCTCTCTTTATGAACCCCAGGCTGCAACAGCCATTAAGAAAATATATTGGATGTGTGCATAGTTGACTCTGGAATCCAGCACTTTTTCTGTATACAGGTCTGAGATGCGGAAATGTTATCTTTTTGGACTACAGCTCCCAGAATACTCATGGCCATGCTGACTGAGGCTACAGCACC